CGCTGCAACCCAGAGAAAGACCCCCGAACGTGATGTAAACATGCAGTTGTGATTTTCATGCATTCTGAGTGGAGTGATCTTTGAATTCTTGCAAATTTCAGGTGTGAAATAATTTTTTCTGGTTTGAAAAAATTACTCCTAGATACTAGAGTAAATTTGCTTGTTGTTTATTCAAACAAACATATGCAAGGCCTTTGAAAATCTGTGACGTGTGTAATTTTCGGGGCCATTACTGGTTCAATGTGTGAGCGTTTCGTGGATGGTATTCTAAACTGATCCTTGGTTTCGTTTAATTTGAAATTGTTAATAATAATAATAATAATAATAAATATTTATATAGCGCTTATACTTTTCAGTGCTAAGCGCTTTACAATGCTTCAAAAAGGTCTGGATAAAAAATAAAAATCCTAAAATCATTTACATATATATACATAGTTACAAAAATACAAAATAAAAAACCTAAGATGGTTCGTAAACTCGCTTAAAAAGAAAGGTCTTCAATTTTGATTTAACTTATTTACATCATCCGTATGTCTTTAAGTTATAGGGTTTAATAACAAGACGCCACTTGTCTGAAGATGAGCGAAGGTACCTCGCAGGGTCATAAACAGGGATTAGGTCAACCAAATAATCAGGAGCTAAAGTGATGAGTATCTTAAAACAAATAAGATTAATCTTAAAGATTATTCTTTGCTCCACTGGTAGCCAGTGCAACTCCTTTAGAGTATCACTTAGGTGATCAAACTTACGTAAGCAGGTAATCACGCGCGCTGCAGCGTTTTGGACACTTTGCAGTTTGTTAATTTCATACTTGGGAAGACCATGTAAAAGCGAGTTGCAGAAATCCAGCTTCGAATTTATGAATGCGTGTACAAGAACTTCAGCCGTTGTGACATTGATATACTTACGAATCTTAGCTATATTTCTAAGGTGGTAGGATGCCACTTTAACTATGTTGTTAATATGAAAAGACATCGTTACGGTGTTATCGAAAATGACGCCGATATTACGCGCCTTATTTGTTCGTGAATTGTTCGTGTTGCAAAGCGTTGCAAATTTTTATTAGTTCTTAAATCCAAAATCCGTAGATTAAGCTGTGGAGGATTCCAAACTTTAACTGAGCGAATCAGTCTTATCTTTGCTGTTGTTTGTGTGGCATTTACAGGTCATTTCCTTTGCTCTTTGTCATAGTCCATTCTCGAGTTCGGTATGACCGCTGAAGCAAAGAAGTGACGACGCATTTTTTACAGCCTTAGCCTCCATCTGAAGTAATATGTTCACAAATTCCAACGAGAAAAAGGCCTGTTTATTACTCTGCCTTTTGTGTATATTCAAATTCCAAACACTTACTTGCCAGAATTTCTGAATATTTTACTTTACGTCGAGGCTAACCCTGTATGAATGTCTCGTCATTTACATCATCCGTAGGTCTTTAAGTTATAAGGTTTAATAACAAGACGCCACTTGTCTGAAGATGAGCGAAGGTACCTCGCAGGGTCATAAACAGGGATTAGGTCAACCAAATAATCAGGAGCTAAATTGATGAGTATCTTAAAACAAATAAGATTAATCTTAAAGGTTATTCTTTGCTCCACTGGTAGCCAGTGCAACTCCTTTAGAGTATCACTTAGGTGATCAAACTTACGTAAGCAGGTAATCACGCGCGCTGCAGCGTTTTGGACACTTTGCAGTTTGTTAATTTCATACTTGGGAAGACCATGTAAAAGCGAGTTGCAGAAATCCAGCTTCGAATTTATGAATGCGTGCACAAGAACTTCAGCCGTTGTGCCATACTTACGAATCTTAGCTATATTTCTAAGGCGGTAGAATGCCACTTTAACTATGTTGTTAATATGAAAAGACATCGTTACGGTGTTATCGAAAATGACGCCGATATTACGCGCCTTATTTGTTCGTGAATTGTTCGTGTTGCAAGGCGTTGCAAATTTTTATTAGTTCTTAAATCCAAAATCCGTAGATTAAGCTGTGGAGGATTCCAAACTTTAACTGAGCGAATCAGTCTTATCTTTGCTGTTGTTTGTGTGGCATTTACAGGTCATTTCCTTTGCTCTTTGTCATAGTCCATTCTCGAGTTCGGTATGACCGCTGAAGCAAAGAAGTGACGACGCATTTTTTACAGCCTTAGCCTCCATCTGAAGTAATATGTTCACAAATTCCAACGAGAAAAAGGCCTGTTTATTACTCTGCCTTTTGTGTATATTCAAATTCCAAACACTTACTTGCCAGAATTTCTGAATATTTTACTTTACGTCGAGGCTAACCCTGTATGAATGTGTCGTTAATGTTTGTATTCAGCGGTAATTTTTAATTCGAAACTGGACTATTGTCCGTGAATGTGATGATTTCCTGCACTGCTGGGTGCACAGGTAACCCAGGCTCTGTGATAGTACCACAGTACGGTTCCAGTAAAATTACAGTCTTTGTATGGGGTAAAAATACGATCCTAAAATTTCTAGGAAATACTAAATAAAGATCAATAAAACTTACTCTGCGGTTAGTCATTGTTGTCCTTAATGCTCCAACGAAGTTTCGTGATAATTTGTTCAAATTCACTCTATATACAATAATAATGTACAAGGTAGGATACACTAGACGCCATTTTCGCCGCCATACTCCCTTTCAACACAACTTTTTCCACGAAATTCGAACTCCAACGGAAAATAAACATGCCAGGATCGTAGAAATAGGATAGCAGCCGATACAGAAACCAGTGAAGCTTTCCCAGATAGAGAAACGGATCCTACAGACTTTGACAAATTCGAAGGATATAATGCAAAAAGACCGAGAACACGCTTGCCGAAGTAGCGTCGCCAGATCAACGAGCGGCCAAGAAAATGAGGCCTGTGCACTGTACAAAAAAAATCCATCCTGGGAGACCTGAGGTGACCTTTCTGGGGACCGATGAATCATTTGCCCAAAGCCACCCTCTCTAGCTAAAAATCCAGCTAAACTCTGAAACTATCATATGTCGAGATCCTGATCCTGGTAATTTTTCGATTTGTGAAATTTACTGAAAATATAAGACTGCAGGTCATTTAGTGTTTTGAAAACCTTGACCGGCGGTCGACCTGAAAAAAGTTCCAAGTGTCACCAAACATGGTTTCGTTTTCTGAGCCCAGCGTGAACCAAACGCTAAACTTGACATTTAAGAAGCATTTCAGGATCGCTTGACTTTTTTAATCGATTAAAATAGTTTTTTCGATTTGTGAAATTTACTGAGAACATATAGGACCGCCGGTCATTTAGTGTTTTGAAAACCTTGACCACAGCGAATTTTCTTTTTGCGGCTGGTCTCACGTTGAGAGGTCATGAAGCTGACCTGTTTCAGGCATATTGTATATCTGGCTTCGGTTCGAGGATCAGGACGTTTATATGATGAGTTTGTACTGTGAAGAATTCGCTCCACTCTTCCAGAGTGCAAAAGTGTTTGCTGAATTAAATTGTCTTATTTATGCTATCTTTCTGTGCAGTGATTTCGTACTACTTAATTTCGTTTTGGCCGATAGCCGCATTACAAGTGGCGGCAATAAAAAAATGTTTCACTTCTACTCATCTCCAGTAGCTCTTGGCCAGATTAACTTTGTTTTGGTTTTGATCTCAACCAATCACAACGCACGATACTTATATCCTGAAATGGATATCTCCAGGACTGCTTATGGTTTCATTTATGCATTCAGTTTCGGTGTCTTTTCAGTCTTTTGCAGCAGGGATTTGGCAATCACACCCTCAGCAACACCACACCCGGAACATGTAAATTATGAGGAAAAAACACCGACAGAAGGAGGGGAGTTGGTCCAAAATTGTTCCACCATTCCAACAGGGAATGTAGCTGAATAAGATGCCAAAGAACAGCATAAAAGACAAATTGAGGATTTAGTTATTCCTAATATTATTTTATTACCATAACTATCATTAACTTTGGCGTATAAATTTACCATAGCAGGGCATACTAGAACTCGAAAGCTGGTCCGAATGACTGATCATTTTTGTTGTAAACTTGCACCAAAATTTGAATCACTGTACAAGAGTCTGAGATTGCTCCCTCAGATTACCCTTACTTGTTTTTCATGCATCTTTTCTAAGTTAACAGGTTGTTCCTAAACAGAGCTGAAATAGCTGAAATCATTGAGTCCTTTCATACCAAACTTGTAATGTCCCCTTGACGATCAAAAACCATCCCAAAATAATATAAACAACGCTCATCGAGAGATTACAAATAAAGACAAAGGTATCAAAATTCTTTTGCTGTTCAGATCTTGTTTGATGGTTTGTTTATTTATTTTTGGTTGGCACGAGGAAAGCGTCGCATAACGGCCGGGAGTTTTGGGAACTTCACGCAGGCTTTGCTTTAATTACCTTTCAGAACCTGTTTCTCAGGTGAGGTTGCATTTACGTTCTTTATGATATGTCGAGAGTAATTATTTCTTGTCACTTACTATTCCAGTTTTCAAGATTTGACTGAGACGCGCGAGGTATGGTCTCCTCGGGTCCCAACACTTGTTTACTTAAGGTACCGGAAAAATTCTCGACAAAAGGGAAAAGTAAGAGGTACAGCTGTACTGCTATGTCCCATTTTCTGTTGTAAAGCCGTATTTTGTTGGTTATTTTAGCATATTTCATGTCTGCACTTGACGTACCTTATAGAGTCTCGTTATGATCAGGTTTGCAGATCAAGGTTCATCCATATTTTGTATCGACAGGTTTTCAATTCTATTATTTTCCTTTCTTAGTAGTTTTTCAACATAATTGTCATCTGTTAAAATTTGAGTGTCAGGCCCTGAATTGGGCACGTTTAGGGATTATCGCTGACCGTGATTGTTACCTACATCAGAGTTCCTGTTTTGGTTTACGGTAGAGCCCGGTGGTATCAGCTGTCAAGCTTTCATTGGTTTCTTGCTCATGTCATTATCATACCTTATAGCTTTACTTTTTCCACCTTGGTGATCAACAGGAAATCCCTAAACTCATCAGGAAAGTGCGTTCGTTACTCTCATTGTCAGCAAGCTCGAACGTTAAGTTATTTATTAAGCCTTTTTCGCAATATTTGCGTAGTTAGAGTGGAGTGCGGTTATGTTGTAGTTATGTTCAGCAGCAGTCGGAAAGTGATGCTTTAGAAGAAAACATATGATAGAGCTGCTGCGAAAAATAAAGAATCGCAAAATGTAAGCTAATGTAAATCAGGGCCGAGTTGTTCAAGCTGAGTTAAGATAACTCAGGGTTAGTGCGAAATTTGAATTCAGAAATAAAAGCTTAGAGAGTAATTTGTGCGAAATTTGAATTCAGAAATAAAAGCTTAGAGAGTAATTTCAGTTTTATTCTTTTTGTAAACAAGTTGATGATTGGATGCTCTTAAAAATAACAGAGAAAATTATCCGAGAAATTAAAATGCTTTTGAACAAAAGAAATAGAAACCCTGGTTAAATTTAACCCTGGGTTAAGCGCTAATCGGCCTTCGAACAACTAGGCCCAGATACCTGGTACCTCTAAGTCAAGGGAGCGAGTTGCTCCAACACCCCTTCATTTGTCATATAAAGTCAGCTTGTAACAGAAGGCATGCAAACTTAAAACTGGTTTCTTATATTACAGATTAATAGTTAAAAATTTTACAAAACATTTCCTGTCCTTGTTTCTAAACCCTTTTCTCGGTGGTTGAAAATGATCCAAAATTGCCCTTCTCGTGATCTTAAAACTTCGGCATTGTAAAATTAATTCTTTGCATAAGTTCACTTACTTGCATAATTTAAGTTGCACTCAAAGCCATCCCCAATAAAACCTTGTTGAAGGTTACAAGTGCAAGTGAAGGAACCACGATTATTCGAACAGGTGGCAAAACGATGGCAATAATATTTGTCCCTGCTGCACTCATTCAGATCTGTAATGTACGAAAGATACCATGTTTAGTTACTGCAATTAGAGCAGCTATCAATTCTTTCATTACCGTATTTATTCGATTAAACGCCGCCCTCGAATAAACGCCACGTCATGATGCGGTGTTTATTCCTATAATAGACTCAAAAAGTAAATGCATGAAATAATAAGCCTGAAAAAAACATTTTCTTTGATTTTAACGATGCTTTAAGATCAGTACATTCGAAGCTCAAAGGAATATAATTAACTTTATTCACTTTATGTATTCCAGTAGTATATTAACATGCAACTGTGAAATTGAGAAAGATATAGATAATGACTTTAGTCAGAACACCCCTGAAACATGTTTCTGTTTTTACAGTTCAAATGCTCAGTTACCATACTATTGTTTGCAAGAAATAAATGGCTATTAAATAAACGCCGCACTCGAATAACGAAAAATTTAATAAACGCCCCGGCGTTTAATCTAATAAATATAAGAATTTTGAAAGTAAGAATTGTTCATAAGCTTGTCATTTACTCATTTATTTCAGTTGTCGTTCAGTTTCATCTATGGTTTAATTTATTTTATTCATTCTTTTGGGGTATGTTATTCAGGTATGATAATGAGTTTGAAAAAAGGGAAATAAAATTTAAACCAAGGACAAAATTGAACTACAGCGGGTCATCGCGCGGTGTAAAAACCTGTGAAACTCACGAGTGACGTAAAACAATTAATACAAAGAAGCCACTGACAAGTCAACATAATAGAGCCAAGGGAAATAATTGCTTAAACAAGCATCCTCGCAAAGACGCGAGACTGAGAGGCGCAAGCTCAATAGGGCCGTGCGAGATACTGTTCCAGGGGCAGAAACAAACTCGAATCGATGTAACATGTAGTAATGTAAGGCGACATTTACGACGTAATGCAGAACAGAGATAGAGATTACTTCATGGTTGGTGAGTGCGTACGATTTTTATTCACGAGTTGTGAAGAATCGAAAACGAACGAGTGAGCGCAGCGAACGAGTGAGTTTGCGATTCTTCACAACGAGTGAATAAAAATCGTACAAGCGAACCAACCATGAGGTAATTTGTTTATTATATATGTACTGAGATATTACAAAATAATGTTAACAACTATCAATTGCGCGGTGAAATCAACACAAAGACCACAACGAGTTGCGAATGATTTTATTCGAGCAAACTGAACGTACAAAACTTCCTACAACATTAAAGTTATTCAATGACTCTGAAGAAAGTGGAACAAAGTCTACTTTTAAACGATTCTTTAACTTTAAATAACAATGAAAATTTTCAGCTTTAAATATCGCCGTTCAAAACCGTAACTAAGATATAAAATTTGAAAAAGTTGACTGTTTTGTAAATCTAATTATAGTAATGCATGCATTCTAATCAGAGTCAGAGTCCAGTACTTTTAGCCTTTTGTACCTCTTTGGAGAAGACTTTACCTCAACTTCTTGGATTGCCAAATTCGGGGATTGATTGAGGCTGTTAATAGAAATGCTGAATTGACCTCCATGAATAACAGCGCCCGTGAAAAGCGACATCGCTTGTTGGTGATGATCTGCCGCCGAGCGACCCGCCGAGCTAGCTGAAGGATCAGTGGAGCATTCTCCAACTTGAGATGAATTATAGTTTTCTCTAAGCTATGCACATTCCCGGACATCAGTTCACTTAAAGTACGAGACATTTTTACTTGCTGTTTTTCAGAAACTACAGAATAATTTGTCACACTTTGAAGATTTTTATGTCCCGACAGTTGAATAATATCTGTCGCTGGGATGTCGTTGTTTGTTAAAGTTTGGATCATTGTTTTGCGACCGCTATGGTTCTTTACATTGGGCCCCAGCCCGGCTTTTTCTGCCATTTTTTTCATTAACGAATTCAGCTTGTTCACGCCAACGGCTGACTTTTTAAACCATGGTTTAGAAGAATCTTGTTTTTTACAGTTATTTACTGCTAGATAAAATGGCGCGTTGTTGTCGTTCATTTCCGACGATCTTTTCTCCGCGTAGAATTTGTAAACAGTGACGGGATCTCTTTCACTTCCCTGAACCGAAAACATTTTCGGTTTTATTTGCCTGACATCTCTGGGATTTTCTCCGGTTCGAGTCTTAGTTTGTCTCTCAGTATACTCTAAAAATTCCTCGCCATTTGTAGTTTGGCGTAGTTGCACATCCCCCCAACACATGTCTCTGTGTTCCTTACAACCACGGAGACCGAAATAGACTGTGTTGTTGAACCAAACTGTATTCAGTAGAGCCTCAGGAGTTGACTTTCCTAACAATCCTTTGTCATACAGCAGTTTTATGTCATCTTCTGTGAGGGGAACTGAAGCGTTTGGTTTATCGCCTTTGCCTTTCTTCTTGAGATCTCTTTGTTTTGATTTTAATGCCGTTCGTGCTTTTTCAAACTCGACGTCTCTCATAATGCTGTAGCCGTAATTCTTCTTCTTTAAATACCGTTCAAACCTGGCCATCATAGCACGCAAGGAAGTGGGTTCGTAATCTTCGTTGTTTTCTTTCTTTCTTACTGTTATGATAAATTCGCTGATGAATGAACTCAGTTCGTGTGGGGGAATTTCTTCTACAGGCCTTGACTCATCTTTTAGCCTCAAAAACTCCTTAAGCAAAGCAACATTCTGTTCAGTTTTCTTCCTGGTGTTTTCGTTTTCTTGTCCTTCAATAAATTCCTCTACTGAAGTTATATCTGCAAACCTTGAATTGCTCGAAGAAGACGCCATGGTTTTCCTTTTGCCTAGTGACGCCGTCAGTGAAAGGCGGGAAAATCGATACGATTTTTGTCACTAGTGAAAACTTTCGTCTGCGGGTTGTGATTGGTCATACGGTATTTTTCACTAGTGAGAATAATCGTACAACCAATCAGATTGTGTGTACTCTACAACGCATCATTTTTATTTGACATATTCATTTTGCAGTAAATCTCAGTACATATATAATAAAATGCATTATTTTCGAGGGAACACTTGATAGTACAGAACAGAGAATCCACGAGTCGTGTGAGTGTTTGTGAGTCCAGTGTTCATCCTTCGTGTTCATTCAACCAATCATCGTCATACAGTGTTCATCCTTCGTAACGTTTTTTTTTGTCATTCAACCAATCATCCTGTACGATGGACTTTGATTGATTTTTCAAGGATTCAACATAAGACCACTAAATTTTACCCAAAATGATATGCGCTCAACTTCGGACAAAACCACGAACTGCTATATAAAGCAAATTTTTATGCAGTAGAACCCACAATAGTTCTGGTCTTTTATCCATTATAATTATTGATCCTTGTTCTGCTGTGTTGGATCGTCGATTTTAGTTGCACGAAAAATAACGCCGCGAATTTTTTTTCTTTTTGAAGTTTGAGCAAAATAATTTGGAAAAAATTGACGTTGAATTCTTCAACGGCACACCATAATTTTTGCACTTAGCTTTTCTTCCAAAATCGTTTACTGGAGACCAAATTTAAGCCTATTTTGGGGCGACGATGAAATATTCGCGGACTTTGATATGAAATTTTTTAAAATGGATTCTAAGTTTGAAAGAACGATTTGATAAGACCACTAAATTTTACCCAAAATGATATTGCGCTCAACTTCGGACAAAACCACGAAAAGTTTCTTTTCAAACAGCAGTAAATCTCATTTGAAAAAACTTGCTATATAAAATACCCTCAAACACAAATTTCAAATTCTTTATTACAATATATCAATAGTCTTGAAACTAAGAGGTCATATAAAAGGACTAATCGAGCGGTTTAAAAATTATTCGCTTATTTAAAAGTAGACTGAAATTTTTACATTACCGCTAACAAGAACGCCCTGACACCAATCAAATCCTTCTTTCTAGCAATCGGCAATCTCCATGATTTTCATTTTTAAAAAGATTTAAACAGTATTTTTGTTAAAAGCGCTTCGTTTAGTACATATAACAGTCGAACATCAAGATTATCAATTTTTTACCTTATTTCTAACCATAAAAACTTCTTCCCAAAATATCACGATAACGCTCTTACAGATTTCGCTTAAACTTCACGAACATCGAGGCGGCTATTGGAAGAAAAAGCTCCAGTGAACGATTTTGGAAGAACAGTTCCCAGTGCCGAGAAATACTGCTGTAAGTAAAATAGGTAATGGCGTCATTTCGTTGCTATGTCAACTCCGATGTCATTGCAACCCTGATCATAACAAAGTTTCATCTTTATCTAAGACAACTGTGGTGTTAATTTCTCCAAATCTTTGTAAATGGCGACGTAGTTTACGCTCAAACTTGGGAGGTATTGACCCTGAAAAACTGTATCGAGCCACCTTAAGCATTGTTTTCAGTTTCTTTTGGGGCCATTTTAACTCCCGAGAGAAACTGAAGACAATGCTTATGCAAAATTTTGGGGTGACAAACAAAGAGCATTATGGTATGTTATGGTATTTTCTGGAGTGGTCAATTGTGATGCTCTTCAAATCCTATTGTTCCTTCTTTGTGATGAATCTTCGATTTTAGTGAAGCCGAGGGTTGTTATTGTAGTTCATTGTTATAGTTGTTTAAAACAATTCCAACAATGAAATTAACACGTGCAAGGCGTGTAACACTGCAAATCTGTATTCTTTATAACCCAGAGAATTCAGTCATTCTGCTCAGTACAAGCCTCAGTTTTGAAAGGAGATGGATTCCTCGGAAGACGAAGCATTATTTATCACACAGACCTCTACGAACACAGATATTTCAGCATAAATCGAAGGTAATCGCGTGTAACGTTTAGTCATTTCTGGCAGTGCTTTACTTCTTTATCTACCTCTAAAGGCGGCTTTTCCATTTTCATTTTAAAATAGAGCGAAGATTTATATCGCCAATTACAGCTTCAGAATGCGAGAAGTCTGACAAAAGCTGGGTATCAGACGCCAGCCGCCGGAAATGGGCGTCTTTGCAATGCCGTGGAAGAAGCAGAGAAATGAAGCGCTTTTGATACAAGATTACGGTGGCGATCCAGTAATTGAAGAAGATATAGACGAGATGTCAGACGAGTTGTTAGCACAAATTGCACTAAAATTGTTATTTCGTATCAATAAACTTATGACGAAAATGATACAATAAACTGCCCTCCATCAGTCTCCGTGATTCGATTTATTTTCAGTGTTTGAAAGTTTTAGTTAATTAAAGTGGCACTTCGAAACAAAAAATTGAGTTACAATGAACGAGAGTTCGACCCAAACGGTGCTGTTGACAACATTCTAAATTATCAGGTATAGTGCAATGTACACATTAAATTTTCTAAAACAGGCTGCAATATTAAAAATATTGTAGGGTGTTTTATTTAGCGCGTTTAGTATATATTACCCCTGATAATTTCCCTACTGACAAAAGGACCGCTCCCGTTTTCCACAGACAGTTGTTTTGGCATCTTTAAGACTGCAATCGTTGATTTGATGAAGAGAGAGAACAATAGAATTTAATGAGGATCAGTAATTATTAGTGATAGGACTGTACTCATGCGTGAGGTACTCGCCTGGCAGTAGGATGGTATATGAGTGCCCCTTGCTTTAAGTTCGCACCCGTCTCAAGGTAATTTTCGCTTATGCGATCGAATTAACAATCTATTTTTTATAAATTACTGTAATTCATGACATTTCTAAAAACACTGAACAGTGCGCGCGTATTGCTGGTTTTAAGTGTCACGCCATTCAAAATAGATCAAAATCAAAATCAAAACCGTTCAATAGATAAAGTCCAGATCTGCGAAATGAAAGGAGGTACATATACAGAGACCCTCGCCAAGATTCAGGTCAGAGGAATATTTCGTATACGAGCTCGAGATATCCGAAGAAACGTTTTACCCAAACTTATAGAGATTTAAATAGTATGGAGACGCCTTGCTGGTGTTCACCTGGATGAACTCCAACATGGCGGACGGAAACCAACAGAAACATCTGTTACCGAGTTTTGCTACGGAAGCGCGAATTTTTTCTTTGAGAAACTCATTCATTAAAGTAATGCTTTTTCTAATACATGAACTGTTTAGATAGCAAAATTTCCTGAGATAAGTAATTTTTTTAACCTACATGACAGCTCTCTTGGCCGTCATGTAAATGCCGCGTCACGCAAAAGCTTAGAAATTCAAGCGTACTCTATCACAAAACCAAGAACCCTTTTGAAGCGAAAATTTGTATGAAAATTAGTTTTTAGCTGCTCTAATTCATCGTGAAAGCAAAATCACGGTAGGATCGATAGTTTTTTAGTTTGAATTTTAGTGACGTCATGTGAAAACCAACAATAAGTAAAAGCTTTGCTCGTTGGCACTTAGCGATAGCTATAACTAGTAGCTACAATATAGAAAACAAAGAAAAACGTCACAGGTTTTAACACCAAGGATGACCTACCGCAAAATATCCATCAGTTCACTCATTGCATCACTTAGTTATTTTTTTTTTAACTGTTTCGTTTGTCTCTGTTTAATGACAAGATATCATTTAATCATGTAATTTTTCAGAGATAATAATCTCTTTTTATGACCATAACCTTACACGTAAACATACATGAAAAACTATACCTTTCTTGCAAGTATACTGATGACAGTCACTGCATTTCACGTCATTCCATTTGTATTTGTATTCAACACCAAGTGTATGTACACAGTCTTCATCTCGAAAATTGTTGGGTTGGTTTTTGGCCCAAGCTGTAAAGTTCCCAGTACCACGATCTGCCCAAGTAAAGGAGCCCTCTGTCAAAATATCATTCATTCCCAGCCAGGATTTTGCTCCATTGTGAAGATGCTGTAAAAACACATTTTCTTCATTGTTTTTGACATCAACGAGAACTGAGTTTTCTTGTCGGCATTTATCCAGTGATGTGGTCCAATTTTGACAAGTCTTACTTGTGAAATAGCAAAAGCCATTGAAATAGTTCCAGCCAGGATCACAAATATCTAACAAAATGTAAAAAGAAGAAAAGATTTAGATTGCTGATATCAGTATAAATTATTATATAATAAATATGATTATGGTCGGATTGATAGATATTGTTTATCCATAGCGGCACTTTTGTAGGAGTATTGTTGCAAGGGTGATAAGAAAAGATAATTAAAAATAATTAACGTTTTTTTCGGGGCAGCGAGTAGACCATCATCATTATTCTTATCTTGAGGAGAGTTGGGGTGGTGTCACAATGATGAAAGAGGGATCACTTTTTCAAATTAGAGTAAAAATTCTGAAGCAACACTAACTTTTAACGTTTGTTCGATGCATGATGGTTTTCATTTCGGCAACTGAGGTCTTCTATCATTATGAGTTATTAGGGACCTTAAGATCCGGCGACGGCGACGACAATGAGAACGGCCAAAAAGCACTAGGTTTAATTATAGCAAAACGACAACTATGCACGTGCCATCACTCTTTTTTCTACATTTCTTAGCCGTCGTTACACGACTACAACGTGAAAATGCCTAGTTTCATGTTTTTTAGAAGACGTAAACAAACAACGACGAAATTTTCCTTCTCTTTCTCGGCTTAACTGTTATAAGGCTCTTAGGAATTCAACTTCAGGAGGAGTAGCGTACTTTCGACAAAGTAAGCGAGATGGAAAAATCGCGATGAAGATTGAAAACCCCGAATTCACTTTTTAAGCGACGTTTTACCTGCCGTCGCCGTCCTCACATCTTAAGGTCCCTAATTTCTTTGAGACAAGAACTTCAAAATGGTACCCTGCTGCTAGCAGTAAATGTAGAAAATTTGAACAAAAAGGGACTGGAATTTTGTAACTCTCTTGACTCTCACTCGGCATGACTCGCAAACCATATGCTTGTGTTAGTTTAGAGCACTTCAAAAGTATTTATAATTCCTCATGAATCGGGTAAGATGTTTGCCAAAAACTACTTCATAAACGAGTTCAGTACTTATTACAGACCTGTGACCACAGCATAACTGACGGACAAGGGGTCATATCTGGTCCCGTATAATTCCTTGACACAGACTCTGAATCCAGAGGTATTCATGTTCTGAAAAAATAAACACTTAACGTAGCTGGTACATTTTATGCAGTTGTAACCATAAACAACTGGGTTAACGTGGAGTGAATGTTAGAATAGTCTCTGAAATTAAACCTTTCTCCTACAGTCTTTTTATGTGACATAGAAATGCAGACATATTCGCCGTAACTGAAACCCGTGGTTTGATGAAAGCTTGCAAAGACCGCTAGAAAATTAAAAGATTGGAAGGTTTAGAAATAACAAAGTTATAAAAGCTAAAAGAATTAAAAGGTTCAAATGTTATCCAAAATATCCTTTTTTTCCCTAATAATGGGTATGATGGTGGCGCAGGAGCTATAAGGCCCAAACAGTCTGGCTAAACCTTGATCCCCGTTGATGAAGACAGCAAATGATTTCTTGTTCCAAGAAAAAAACTACGGTAACGTTTAAACCCGAACCGTCAGATTTAAAGTTTGAGACCACCGCGGCGCCTGAGTATTTAAAGATATTATTCAAACTTTAATGAATAATACCTACATAATTATATTCGCGATCGAAAACATGAAGTTAGCCAATAAGCAATGTCAAATTTTCTTGGTCCATTTTTGAGCCACATCTATTATCGACCTATACATCGCCTCAAGCGTGACTCTGTTCAGTTTTATCTTTCGTCGAGCTTCGGTTTAAATTTTTTTTGCCAGGACACATCGATCCCTACACATTCGCCCCATGACGGAAACTTTTACCTCGATCCAAGTTGTAATTCCGTTGTGGATCGGTGCTGAATTCCCAGATACTGTCGTGCTGTGATTGGCTGAGACAAGCACTGTCGGAGTCGAGTTATAAGCTCTCGTGAATGCGACGAACTGCCATGGAAGAGAAACATACAACGTTTAACACTGTTTCCTTTAACTTTAGTTACCTTCGGTTGTGTTTATTTTTGAAGTCACGGTTGGACAAACAATATTTGCGATTAATCATTTTAACAGAACGAACTGCCCTTTTAATATTTTGATTAACGTTTTTCAAACATTATTTTGTGAACCAGCTTCTTAGCTTTTCTGGTTACTTTGATCTCTACCACGTACAGTGTATATGACTATAGGTGTTTTGAAGATATAAACAGTGATGTAAGTAAGCTAAATATTTGTGAGGGAAAATCCTGTGAATAGCACGCTTATGCTTATAATTTTGCAAAGAATTCTTTTCTCACCTCACAATAAGCATTGTTCATTTTATCCGAAGGTGGGTTCGTATTTGGAAAACTTATGACGCCATGTTCAGTGAAAAGAGGCTTGTGCAGTTTGGAGAAGGCAAACCAGTTCTGTGAAAAGAGGAAAAAACAAAAATGATGCCACAGAAAATTTATTTAAAATCAACTGCATTTTCAGGGCCCTTCCAGTGAACCTAGGCATTTTGAACTCTATAAATTTGTGAACTAACAAAGAGCGCAAAAAGTCAAGGAAAGGATGCAAATCCACAATTTTTTACGACATCGGGGGAATCGCGTAAAACCGTCAGGAAGGGAAGCATGGGGACAAGGCAGACCAATTTGCGTGCTATTTAAAATTCACTTCTTGTAATAATATTCAGTTTTTTTTTCTTCTTTTTCTTCTTTTCGTTATTATTATATTTCTGTTCCTTTTTATGTTTTTCTTTTTGCCGTTCCCTTCGTTCGACTGAACCATCACTCGCCCGGACGATCTTTAAAGTTATCAACGCCATTTCAACTTAACCGCGCTGTTATGGTTAACAGACCAACAATCCTTACAAATTTTGCAGACATTCGCGTTCCAGTTTCTAAGAAAATCACTAAGAACGTACCACAGTGATATCTTGGTGTCTACCGTCAAAGTTTTGCATTTCACGAAGACAGACTTTAACTGAGTCCTTAGTTACGTCTTCAATCCAAATGAGAGCAGCATCATACTCTTTACCAGTCCTCAGGTGCTCTGACGTCACAAGGACTATTGGCGCCTCAGCAAACTTTCCCTGAAGAAAAAGCCCAAAAAACACAATAACAACAACTGAAGTCATGTTAAGATGAATATTGCTGCAAAAATTACACGCAACTAATCACTGAGTAAGTTCCCCCTCTTATTTATTACCTAACCTTGTCTTGTTATTTATTGTAGCAATCGTCTTTTTTCTTCCTAGTCACCTCGTAATGATCCGTTATTTTTTTATTTAAAGACGGCGTGGATTAAAGCTGTCAGATGAATGAAAGTCTAACATTTGCCTTGGGGACTTGCATCAATTATATAATCTCTCACCGTAGGAAAAGTCACATCTGCGCAGTTGGTACCAGACCACCATTTCTGCAACTCAACCGTTCCCGTCAATCCTTCGGGCGGTGCACCTTGATAAGCCACCCAATCAATGGTGGCAAATGGATTCGCACCTTCTTCTTTCCTTCCGGTTTGCATGACACAGACGGTGAAGTTTTTTGTGTTGATACTTTCTGTCCATGAAGTAACAGCGTCGTGGACTGTCACAGAGTCATTCAGCTTCATGTGATTGACGGTTATTTGAACATGAACTTGTTTATCGGGATAAAACCGGTATGGAGGAAATGTGACTGTCTGACAGTTTGAATCTGACCATTTTGGAACCTGTAGCAGATCTACACGGCCCCGAACAATTGGAAAACCTGTTTTTATAATAAATTAAGTACTTGATAAGGAAGCATCACTGTACTCTTTAAGCATTATCGCTGAGGTCGTAGCTTCGTTAGCTTGCGTTGTACTGTAACTCTAAGTGGTGAAGGGTGGTGATAAAAAAAAGCGTGGAAATTGAACTAAAACTAGGCTATAACTTGCAATGTCGGCTACCTTTCAACAACGAAATGTATAGTGGCTGCTTATTATTGCATGCTGGTTGCTGGTTTCAGTGCCCAAGATAAACATATGCCAGTATAAAGATAAACATATATGCAGTACTGGAGGAGGCCAAAAAAAAAAAAAAAAATCAAAAGCGTACCTGATGACATGTACGCGTGGGAGCGTGCGCCACTGCGCGAAATATTTGATTTTCAGCAAATTTACTCAGTGCTAATAGGGTGCAAAAAAAAAAAAAATACAAAAGAGGATGAAATCAAGGGCAAAGATAATAAATACTGCATTTGCCCTCAAATATGCAACTCCGTGTAAACTGGTATGTAAATGTGATATTTACCACCCTTGTCTTTGATTTCCTCCTCTTTTGCACTTTTTGAACCATATTTTCCCCGAGCAAATTTGTGTAAATCTAATTTTACGCGATAAAAACTAGATTGCAAGGCAAAAGAGAATAAAAGATCTTACACAGATCAAACATCGCCTATAGTCTGGGCTGCTATGTGTTTGTTTGCCAAAGCAGAGAGACGAAGTAACTTGTTACAACTCTCTATTGTTGCTTAGCCTGTGTGAGGGGCTAGAAGTGAGCTTAAAAGTAACGGAAAGTTATAAACATCCTATAGCTAGAAGCCAAATTGAATGCAATTTTGAACCAACAACTATAATTCTAAGCGATCGAGAGCTTAACTCCCAGACTAGTTTATGTGGCATATACAGCCAAAAAAATCGTTGAAATCATTATTCGTTACCTTCACAGCTTCCTGGGTGGTAGACCAGATTATTTTCGAGTCCTCTGCAATAGCTTAACTTATGCCAGCATCGGTTGTCGTAAGTTGTTCCGTTCGCAGTGCACACTGGGTCTTTATATGAGGGGCATTGGTCATCGCACTCACACTGAGCGTCATGTGCACTGTAGGTCCTGCAGACTCCAAATCGAGGGCAATGCACATTAAGGCAAGGATTAAGATCTGCAGCAAGAAAAAAAAACATAATATTGAGTAGTTATCCATTCGGAAAAAACATAAATTTCTAATATATTTTTCATATTTGAATTAAAACTAAATAGTAATGACATGTTTGCATACAGGCAACTCAACCTATTATTTTTATCGTTAGCAGACGTTATTAACGATACCGCCATCTTTGCACGCGCTAAAGGCTGATGGAATAAATTAAAGCAATGTTACGTGGTTTCTCAGGGGGCAAACAAGAGATAAAATCTGCAAATACAAAAATGCAGTCGAGTTTTGTTTGACCTACACAATAGAAAAGAAGTTTCAACATTAAATGAAAAGAAAATCGCAAAAGATGGGTGGAAGTGATTTTGAATGCAGTACACCACAGTAGAAGTCTTCACAGCAAGGAATTATGACGTAAAACTTGTCGAACTTTACATTTTGCATTTTGCATGACTAGAATCGTCGTCTTATTTTGAGGGAATAAACAAACTCGCCCGCGATTGCTCGATTACTCGTTTGGCAATTTTATTACTTGTCTGCCCTCTAATTGCTCTTATCCCATCATTCCTTACGTGCGTTCAAAGGTAGAGTGTAACATGAATAAGCTTATCATTGTTTGTACTCCAGCGTTTAGTTAATTCTATCATCATGAAACGTTTTCCTACAAATAAAAACTTCTAAAAGATATCAATAAAAATAAAAGTAATAATAATAATAATAATAACAATTCTAGAAATAGTGATCATTACAATAGGAAAATTAATTAACAACCTCCAGTAACAGCGTAGCTGACAATCAAGGGATCATGACTCGATCCTAATCCGCTGAGGTCTTTAACGCATATCTTCATAGATTCTAATCCAACGTCCTACAGCAAAATGTGATAGCACTCATCAGTTACTAGAAAATCCATAATTTCTTCTTAATTTCTACGAAGACAATACAAGTCATGAAATTTACGGATCAGATCCAAATTATCTGTTTCTTATGGCTCTTTCACGGTCCTTTTATCAATTTACTAGAATATACGGATTACTTCTCTTCCCTTATTGAACAAGAATAATCATCCAGTAAGGAAAACCCCATTTCGCGACACAATTAATTGCTGGTTGAAAAGACGTCTGTGGAACGAGTGAAGAAATCCCATAATGATGACTTTGCACTTCCCAGATCAAGATACTGCTCCTGATTGGTCGTGCCGCAATGGAAGTTTTCTAATCAACCAGTCAGAAGCACTGCATGACTGCATGCCCAGTTGACACATCATCAGTATACAATTTTTGCTATCGTCGTTCATCAGACGTCATTTTGTGGAAAAACTAGTGGTGGCGTAGCGTGAAATGCCGGCTTTTTTCTCAGGTTAGAATAAAAATTTAAACCTACCTCAACCCAGGACGATATTATATTATTTTCTGGAAGACGGCTTCCCTTGACCTGAAGATTATACTCATGATTTACGGAAAGAATCACAATTGGCGATTTGTAAAAGGTCGTATTGAAAGGTACTTCCTGTAAATAGGTAAAAAAGTAATGTAAGTTAGTAAATGGATGTGAACGTGCTCACTTCTCCCTCTATTTTTGCCCATCGTCTGTAAAGTCCCCACTTCTAATATTCGCCCACTCAACAACGCGAAATTGAAGTGATTCGAAATATAAAATTCTTGCAAAGTCGCGAAATTTAAAAATCCCAAAATATGCGCACATTCAAGTCGCGAGATAAGCATGTCGCGTTCATCTGGGAATTGCCATTTTGGATACATTGTCGATCACCATGGCCTGGTAAATTTAGGTTTACTATATTAAGTTTTCTCTAGTGTGACCTCAACCACTGAAAATGTTCTGTGGCTTGCTAAATGTCCTTGTTAGAACTAAAGTCTTCACCTGACAGAAGCCGTAGTTGTTTTTGGCCGATGGATTTCCACTGTTTGGAAAGATTTCTTCTCCAGTTATTGTGAAATTAAGTTGACTCCCATTTCCAGTGAATGCGAACCAGTCCTGTGGACAAGAAAATAATGTTTAATTTACAAGACGTCAGGCATTGAACGACACTTCCTTTAACAAGAAATGTCTGCGTGAGACACTGTTACGAACGTTCTAGGTAATTGGTTGTCCGGGCTGCCGAAGTGTGGCAAAGTCAAGTTATTTATTTATTTATATTTATAATATTATAGTTTACTCGAGCATTTTTCTTCACTTACCACAACTGCATCTTGGTGCTTTCCATCAAAGGGCAAGAATTCCCTTAAGCACACTTCAAATCCTCCAGAATTGACGTTTTCTAACCATAAGTACATAGCATCATTTGGCTTAGTACTGCGAGTGTACTTAACAGAGACAAATACACGAGGCTTGGAAGCAAAGCTCTGCAAAAAAAATGTTAGATATATGAAAAACTATTGACTAAAAAATAAACGATTTTCTCGAGATATAAATCAACATGATCGTATCAATGAAGTGCTCAGTGGCACTTATGAAATTAAGGATTTATCAAAGGCTAATGGGAGCAGATTAATTAAATCTTGACTACTTGTCTATTCACATCGACTCAATTTTCTACCCCTCTTCACCTCTTTCTACGAAGTGTTGAGAAGGTTGTTGAATGCATCTTATTTGGCCCATTACTTAAATAAAGCTACTAACAGCAATGTTTCTGTTCGGCTAACTTTGTTAGGTTTAATGCCAAAAATTTAACATCATTAAATAAATAGACTTCTATTTTCCCAATTTCCTTTGATACATCAATACAATCAAAACGGTCAAGCATTATTCAATCACTACTTCTAAACATAGTTATTAGGGGAGACTGGTTATGAAAAGTGGTAAAGATCAATGATAAATTAACAATTTACAGTGCTGCAGTTTATGTTGGAAGCACCCTGAAAGCGCACAATCCTTTATTTTCTGTTGGCAAATTGTTACAGAATATATTAATGCAACGTTTTTATTGGTCAAAACAATCCAAATGACAGGAATGCTTTTGAACTTTGTGCACTTTCTGGTCCACAAAAACATAGAACAAAGGAGTCTGACGGGTTTCATAACCATTCCACTCAATTAACTATGTTCTAAAGCAAAACGTGAAAATGGCTTGTCTAAAGGCGATAGAAGGAAAAGTTTGAATCTAAGCCCGAGAGGTAGCTTAACAAGACTATTAGCAATGCATTTTCCCAGGCCCGATTATAATCGGGCCTGTTCCAATAAGAACAAATTCCGGATATTGAACTAGAGATCATTTGTTTTCGAACTATAATTTCTGATACTATTTCTTTTGTTTCTACTATTTAATTACGTTTTACACCTTGATAACAAAATTATACACTTGTTATCAATTATTGTTATCTAACCTGAGAAAAGGCCACCTTCTCACACTTGGTTTCTGTTGTCCATATTCCACTAAATGTAACGCTTCCATGCGTTAACTTGGGTTTGTCCTGAAACGCTACCCAGTTGATAATTCCAGTGTCATTTGTAGAACCTGTTGCACGCGAGCATAACTGAAATCCTGCTGTACTTATGGACTCTGCCCACACAGCAGAAGGCGAATGAACAACTGAAGACTGATCTTCGTGGCTTAATGACACAAAAACTCGAACCTGAAAAGATAAGCATTAATGAAAATTTGCAGGCGACAATTCAACCCTAGATTACGAGCAGTCTCTCTTTTTTCTTCTGCCTTGATCAGTACGGAATAAATTTAAAGGCAGTTGTGACGTCATGGAGCTATTGTTCTCGAGAAAAATGGCGGATAGATTACCTAAACGACCACAGTCACCGTTTCGAGACTCTCAGGCATATTTGTAAGACTTTTCATGAGGCATACACAATTTTTTCAAGTGGAAAGCGTATCGAAAGCCATATTGGAAGTTTCTCGTGAAATATTCAGTACATTTTGTGCCTTATTTCTTCTTTTAAACAACACGATGTAGGCGAGATTTTGGTCGGTTTTCAAGGTAGGTGAACAAGTATCTATAATTTTTTTCGATTTACAGATTTTTACGAAGTTCTAGATATTTTTCCTCAATTGTCATATCCATTAACGTTTATCACGTTGAATGTGGGGATAGTAGACAACCTAGAAGAGGGTCTGGATTGGGTTAACTGACGACTGACAACTCACAAATAGCCGAAAATTTAACTGACTACTGACATTTGCCTTGGGTTTTACTGTCAACTGACAAAGGACCTGCTTGTCCCTTATTTTCTACAAAAACTTGTTCTTAAGGCCTTGAATAGCATTGTTCCACTCTTTTCATCGTATAATGTGATCAAATGTGCGTTTTTAGGCGTAATCTTAGCAGCAAGACGCTTAAAATCTCATGTGTGTCATGTACCATCTGCAAATGACCTATGATTTCAAATTTACGTTTCTCTGAGAACGCACCAGCATACGATGGCTGCTCAGAATGAGGGCATTACAAAGGCAATTGCAGGGTTTTACTGAGATGATTCAGAGACGGTTTTCTTGGTCTTCTTACGATCTACGTCCCAATATTATACCTGCCTGAGTCAAATGCGTGAGATTTTCACCTTGTCATAACCAAGATTTCACGAAACGTCCCGGCGACTTCTAAAGATTTCCGACGAATTACCGAGACTTCCGAACGTTGCCGAAAGTTAAATGTCCTCAGATGTGCTAGAAGACCTGACGTTGGAGCACTTTCGAAGCTACTTAAAAGACGACACTTTTAGCTTGCTTTGATATGATTTCGTTAGAACACAAAAAAGGACACAGTCATCATGTGTTAAGAACAATTTGTCCGGATTTGAGAGTCAGATGTGAGAAATCGTCCTTGATGCGAGAGATCGAGCCTTTGCCTTTTTTCTTTTCAAGGCCAAAACAACTTTATTAGTCTTATGCATATTCACGTCCAACATGCATCTCGCCTCACTTTGCCGAATTTGCTGGGATAAAATTAAAGATCATAAGCGTAAGGTAGTTATTAACCACTTTGTTTCTGAAATTCACCAAATCAGGAAAGATTTATTGTTGTTGGATTCTCCAAATGTTCATCCACAGTTAAAAAAATCAAAGAAAGAAGACAAATTTCAACTGTAAATGATGTAATTCGCTACACATTAAACATGCACTGATTATCTGGGATAAAATTAAAACATTGCAGGTACGACAACAAGCAAAGAAAGCACCCGTGAAGTCAACACGAAACAACACAAAAAACAAAAAAGGAAAATTAATAAATTTGAACTACTTTTTATTCTTGTTATGATGACTGGTTCTTTGATTCTTGTTCTGTAGAAGTTAATAGGTAGTACCATTCCTGTTTTGTACGATCTCAACAAATTTTCAAGTTTGCTTCAATCAAAAATCTTGCAAGCCAAGTCAGTGAAGCCACGACCTCTGCGATCGGTCCAGAATCAGTTCGAACACCCCAATGATTCCTTGCAATGAATAATACTCTTATTCTCTTACATCAAATGTTTTCTTTGAAATAATGTGAAACCTAGCCGAGTATTGTAAGCTTATCCAGGTTATGGGCCCCTGGCTTATCTTAAAATCTGTCCGACTCTGTCCGCTGTTGTGAAAATTTTTGATCACTTGGTCGATGTTTTGATAAACACAAGCCCACCTTCTACTTGGTTGAACAGTGTCGCGTGACCATTTGGCCCTGTCCTTAAATTTAGGGATATTCCGGACTGTTGATCTGTCTGTCGTGCGAAACGCGCGAGAAACGAAAATGACCACGCGCGTGACTGAAGGGGCGAGACTGCCGCCCTCGTTTCTCGCGTGCGTCTGGTGGTTTCAATGCTCGTGCGCGCGTGCACTCCTCACACTAAATCTGAAGAAAAAGAGGATCTAATTCAACCCTCCATTCGCGGCCCCATTCCAAGGATTAAAGATCTTCTAGCCTATTTTTATTGTCAGAATTCTCTGGATTTTTTGTTTTGTCTTGTTTTGTTTTGATTGAAAACACTCGCATCCTAGGGATTAGGGAGCACTTGAACACACCTATGCGCACTAAATTGTCTGCGGTCATAACATTACAAAGGCCACAATGCTGGCAAATCAAAATTTGTTAAAAAAAATTAGTTTCTAAAGAAGCTTATTGTGTTCTGCTAACAAAACAAAGTTGCCACCAACCCTTAAGATTAGACTACTGTATTTCCTCGAAAAATAGCCGTCCCTCGATTAATCGCCTCCCTCAAATAATCGCCCCTAACCCCCACCCTTCTCGCTATCTTCTCTTTCTTTACCACCTCCCTGTCGAGTTAAAAATTGACGCCTTGGATAACAAACAAAGCTGAAGTGGAATCTCATCCAGCAAAACTGATCAGTGACGATTCAAGCTCTAACGCCAAGGATATTGAAATTGAAAAATAACCAAGGAACAGGATTGCTTCTGACAACGAACCATTTTTTCAAAACTTATAAAGCCCATGTTTAGTATATTTGATGTGATTATTTCTTTATTTTTATTTAACGGGTAACAAAATAAAATATTTGGGGATCGACTTCCAGTGACCAATATTTGAAATAATCGCCTCCCTCGAATAATCGCTCGAGGCTATTATTTGAAGAAATAGGGTAATTTTTAATCGCTTTAAGGTATACTTACTGTTCCAGATCCACTGAACGTTTGCGGAAATACCACGTTAGTGCAGCGTGGCAGTGTACAATGTTGTGGCGCCTCACATCCGCTGTTGCAATTCCATCCTTGACGCGTCTCTGATGCGTTCAGTTTTCCAACCTGATAGGAAATGCCTGTAAAATGGAAAAAAAATGTCTCAATGTAGTGTAGGTATGGGATGGAAAGAGACGGAGTGTTGCTTGAAAAGAAATGAAGAGCGGCCAGGGGTGTGTCTGTGTTTATTTGAAAGGTGAGGAGAGATAAGCAACTTTCGTGTGTTATTAAAATGTGAGGACAGAAAATTAATTCTTCTTCATTTAGTGAATTTCAGTTTGAAAGAAATATCACCAAAAGCTGTTCTTTTGCAAGGATATTGTGACTTTTCTTTTTATTTAAATAGCGCTGTAGAAACGTAACTTGGCCTTGGTTCAAGTCTAGAGGGTAATAAGCGACTCTACTTTGGCGTTATAGGGAAAAGAAAAAACGTAGCCTAGCATTTTTCACTTTTCATTTCCAGGCGAGGTGTAAAATCTTTGCCTTGTAGTTATGTGAGAAAATTTAGGAGGAAGAAGTTTATATATACAGATATTTTTCATTTCATTTACTCAACATCAGGGGGTGGGGAGGGGGAGGTAACTCTATTGTTTTATTCCTAAGTTTCTTGACCCACTCCGCCTGCCAGTATGACGTCACATAGTAACGGGCAAGAGCCTCGCGGTCGCTTGTGCAAATTAGCGAGGGATACGACAGTTATTAGGACGAGTGAGGTCGAGGAAAAGGTAAGAAGCTATCAAATATCGCTATATATCGCTAATTTGATCGAATGTGTGTGAGCTTTGGTGTTGCTATAATCTGCTTGAGTAAACCGTTTTGATATTTGGTTTTTCGTTTTCGCTTGTTTTTCTTTATTCTTACTGCTGACCCTGTTGGTCATGCACTGCGATCAATATATATTTTAAGCTTAAGTCCGGAGTATTATTTTGGAAAAGGAATTTCAAGAGTTCTTGATCTGCATACTGGCCAAGCTTACGGCCAGAAAAAACCACAAGCTGTCAGCTTATGTCCCCTCTCCTCTCAAACAGCTGAATTTTTTTCAATGTTAGTTGACATCATGACAAACAACACACAGTACACCACAAGACTGCACACCCACCAGTGATCCACTGGCGAAATTTAAACCTGCCTTTTGTACATCGGCTTAATCATCAATATTATTACCCTAAAATCTCCACTGGGTTTGCTTCCAAAAAATAGTTAAACGAAACCATTGGTTTTCCGGATTTAATTATAGAATTACAGGTGTATGCCCAGTACAGTATGAAACTATGTTAAAGCAACAAGATTCAGTGCTCACAGTCTCTCACAAATATCTGTCATGTAGCTTCCTTTTGCAACGCTACAGCTAAGCGAACCTTGAAAGGATTGATATGGGGTTCCACTAGCTCTGAAGAGCTCAAAATACGCACAATGTAAAGTATAATAAATCCTTTGATGAACCTCCTATTGCTGTGTCTAAATTTCTCAATCTTGCTGTGCACTGGCCCTCAAAAGTGTGACTGGTCGGTTTGATTGCCCATAAAATTTGTTCAACGATAGAAAGGAATCTTTAAAATTTATTACACCAGTAGACGTTTCATCCTAAAAAAGTACTAAAGTCTAGTTTTCTATGACAAGAGGGAACTTAAAATCTCCAAATCCAAGAAATCAGAGCGGTATTTCCTTGGTAAATTCGAAATTTTTATCTGTCTCTTCGATGAACACTTTGCTCGCCATTTTGAAAGTCACCGACGCGAGACGTGACGTCACACTGGCAGGCGGACTGAACCACCGATTTCCTTGGACACCCCTTCTCCCTCCCCCCAATGCTCAACATGCTTTTCTGAAATTGTACTGAACAATTTGGCGAATGGCATATCTGGTCAGTTCTATACGAGCGCATTCTCGTCTTGGAGGTAAGTATCTTTATGCAAATTTTGATATCATCTAGTTTTTATATTGTTTGCTTCGCCTTTATCATATTTCAATGTTTCACTCTTGGTTTGGACAATATTTGATAAAGATCGCGGCGGTCCAAATGGCAAACTCGGAGAATAGCTACTGTAATAACTCTCTTTAGATTTGTTTTAAGTCCAATTTTATCTCCCCTAGCTCCTTTTTCGTTCATGTTCAGTTACTCCACTTGTTGAGAGCAAATCTAAATATCTAGATTAATCAAATTACCGTTTTGCTACGCGCGCACACGCAGTGTGTCGAGTAAGCTCGGTTCCTTGCACCAAAAGGGTAGCCCGCGAATGACAGTTATCTCTGATTGAATTAAAACAGAGCTGCACGGATTAGGAAATATGAACATCGGTAGAAGTGCGGAAATGACTGATTCCAAAGTAGGAAACTCAAAGAATAAAAATTCGTTTAAGGTTTTCTGTAAAAGATGGGTTGATGAACTGCCAGCTATCACTTTGGCCGTCAAAAGTTTGAAATGGATTAAAACTTTCGCGTTGCATAAGAATGTGGGTGTGGAGTGTAAGGGGCAGGTTTAATTTCAGAGATCTCACCCCACTGTCAAAATCTTATGTTCTAGCTGTGAAATCTCCAATTTTATAGGTCTTTTGGTGATATGAAATATCGTATCAAGAATCAATCACCTGTCTGTGATTAAAATTTTGTTTCGTTTTCCTTCAATCCAAGTGGTAGCCCGCTGACGGAAACAGACTGTACTATTTTGGAGAACAGAGTTACAACAAACAAATTACTCCATCGAAAACTTTGTAATATAATCATTTTCGCGAGATCGTGAGATGTATAGAAACTGGCACATTAAATAAGATGGAAAAATGCATCGATCAGAGACTTTGACCTTAGTACTCTAGTCGCAAGCTCGAGCACTGAGTTAGTCACTTAAACGAGAGGGAGGGGCTTGTTGTGTTCCTCAAAGTTGTAAATCAGAACAACTTAGAAATTCAAAAATATTAGCTGTCAGACCTTCTGTCTTTATATGAGGAGGTCTAAATAAGTACACGCAGTGTTCCTTAAAAAATAAAGAACAAAATAGAAAGTCTTCGACCGAGGTGAATTGCTTTTCAGGAGATGAAATTTTAACAATTTTCAACTATGTTACAAGAAAAAAGTAATATTTGCCTTTTGTTAGGTATAAGAACATACAAATGCTGATTGCAACGGCCTACGATGAAAAGAAGAGACTGGCATACCTTTTACAGTTAGAGGGAGAATCCCCAGGTTTAGGAGAAAGACAAAAGGTGCAAATTTTCTGAGGTCCATCTGGCTGCTAAACCTAGATGTAATGGCCTGTCGACATCTGGATGGGTTGTTTTATAGCGGTACAAACGTTTCCTCGGCTCATATTTGACAAATCAGCCATGTATACCAAATCCTCTTAACAAGTAAAAACAAGCTGATTGGGTAGTGAAAGTGCAATATGATGCAAATTTTAAATTTTTTTTTACAGTTGATGGTTTGAGCCGAGGAGTCATTTCAAACGTAGGTGGAATGTGATCGTCTGGGTTGTGTGGGAGTTTAAGTCTTGAATAGGGTTGTTGTTGAGACGTTAAACCGACGTTTGGCAGTCATCTTCAAAAACAATATTTTATTTGGCTTTTCACAGTATGACAACTTTAAGTAGCCGTGCACTTAATCATATGTTATGCTTTAATAGAGCGAATTTCATGTCTTGCATATTAACAAGAAGAACAAAAGGACTCGCGAACAGCTACTTCTGCCAAGTATTTCATCACTAGATTCAAACTAATGAAAACCGACTGTCTTATGGAGCTCTGGGCACACTGTTAGAATCACGCTGTCCGCACTTTGCCTAATTTTTATTGAAATCATATACTATGTAAATTTAAGAGACAAAGGCACGCTTTCAGGAGCTCAACAAAAGAAGTGTCGCTTTGGTCCCAGAGTGCAGTGCGAGAGACGGCCCTGTCGGTGGAAATAGTTTATCAAAATATTTTAAGGACAACTCCCTCTAAAGCAGCTTTAAAATATTCCTACAATTAACAGTAATTGTAGATATTTGTAAGAGCAACGTTTATCTAAAGTTTGTTGCCAAAACTCTAGTTGTTTACCATGCATAGGGGCAGTTTAGCCGGTCAAACTTGAGATATGACCCTCTTGGCAAAGGGAAGCTAATTTTATCCTTTCTATATGCATGCGGTATTCCACGTAATGAGTCTTAAAAGACTTTATCACCACCCACACATGCACTACGTTTCCTGAAAGGAAGAAAAACAGTGGATCCTGGAAACTGTTATTAGATAAACCCTCAACTCTTTCTTGGTCATTCAATGCTATCATTGCGAACGCACTCGTTGTTTCGTGGTTTAACTTGTTAAATGTTTCATTGATGATAATTCTCTTAGAAAACTGTCACTTCTTTCCGAAAGCTACATAAATGTTAAGGGTTTTTGGTGATGATCCGTGGTAAGTGTGCATGGATTATGTCTAGAAAACTTCCGCTCGCCGCACGCAATCCCTTTCATGGCACATTCAGGAAGTATTTTTTCTGCGGCTTTGAAACAGTCAGCAAAGGGTAAGCTGATAGTCCATAGTAAGAAACGTGATTCTGATTTTCCGACGTTATAGAAAAAGATCTAAAACAGTCATTAAGTAGGAGAAGCTAACATTAGTTCAGGTTTTTTTTGTGTTCTTAGCTAGAGGGATATGTCATATTTGCGTGCAGTCTGTATAAGGTGTAAGCTAATGTACACAACCGCAACCTTTTTGAAACCACGTGCACTTAAAAGTAGAAAGGCTTACTTAGAATAAACCCCCTGATCCTACATTCCATGGCATTCTACTTTGAACTTCCGCATATCAAATGAGTGAACTGCAAGCACTGCAGTCAAACTTAACAAAATAAGTTAACAAAATAAGCGATAACGTCTTCTCAGTCAAAGCTAAAACCGCCTTTGCGAGTATCGGATATTCCGGGATGTTATTGCTCCCTAAAATCCACTAGTAAGTTTTAAGAGAGGTTAAGCACCACGTTTACGTCAAACGGCAAACGCGAATTTATACCACAAGTTTCGCCTTTACTTGTCGTTTACTGTTCATTATATCTACACAAATGTTGGTAGTTTCATGCAATTTTCTATCCATTAGATTAATTAGAATTGTTGTGAGCTGTTTTTATCCCCTCACCTTCTGTTTTGAGAAATTCCCAACTTGAATTTGGCGTTTGCCGTCCCTCTGTCACTTTAGACTTTTCTCCCACACGAAATTAGAAGAATCTAACCGCACCGACAATTTTTTTTTGCGAAATCAGAGAGCACAATAAACAAACCCACACACAAAATCCAGATTGAAGACAAATGTTCTCGCATTTTTGGGTGCAAGCCAAAGTAAGAAGTACAGAAGTTAATCCTTTTTTAAATCTTTATTCACCGTGCTCAATAGAGCAGTGGCAGCAGTTTTTATTCCGCTTGTTGATATCTTTAACCAATTTTAGAACACATAATAAATCAATGGCTATAATCAAGGTCCTGTGTGTCATTTTTCCCCATTACAAGTTATAACCTGTGTCTCTGTCCTTACAAAATATGAGCTTGTTTGATATGCCTATATCATAATGTCCATCAATTACGTAACATCTCAAATGAACCTCCTATTAAATAGTGACAACAATTTTAACTTAGATAGTATAGTATCGTAATCATCATCAGACTTGGTAATCCATCTGGTGGCTCTTCGCTGTACAGCCTCTAATTTATCAATGTTACGTTTAGCATGAGGCTTCCAAGTTTCCC